ACGGCAAGGCAATGGGATTGGCCGGAGGAAGAGTCAATTTTAGAGTGGTATTCATTAGATCATGTATTTAAGATCGTCTTAAGGGGAATAAGCTGGATACCGACAAAAAGCAACTTTTACTGCTTTTTTCCATTTACTTGTGCAGAATAGCAAATGCTTATATTATAGAATTAAAATACAAATGACAGTGTATGTCATTTTTATGTATGTTTATTTTTATACATACTTCCATTAAAAGCATTTGTAATCCTGTACAACCAATATAATGTAAATTTTGCAGAAAAATGTCGATATTCTGTCGGTAAAGTTTTCAGCATCTCCTTAAAGTGTCGACTTCAACATTCCCTTAAGTTCATCTTCAGATATTATACAGATAATTTCAGGAGCTTTGGAACATCTGAAAATGAATTTAAGACAATTTGAAATATAAAATTGGATAATGAATGTCAGTGTTTGAATTCAAAATCAAATAGTTTGATGGAACAATTGAAAAGACGAGATTGTGAAGCGCAGAGTGGCCAAAGAGTGGCCAAAGTATCCCCCTCAACAAACCATGTGTATACTTCTCTTTACGAGGATTTATTTGAATTGGTTTCAAACGGCTTTAACCGGAATAAAAGTTTGGCGAGGTGAAGTGTGCTGAAAATAAACGTGCAGAAGGCTCCGTCGTCCTGACGGGAAATCGCCATTGATATTCGAAGATATCTGAGAGAGAAATCCCAAAAATATAATCCTCTCATTTACTTCATTCAATCTCTCAATCACCATCGACTCCGAGCTATTCGATTGAAATTTCAAGCGTTCTTTCTCGAATGTCCCAGCCCGGAATCGATTTCGCGCGCAGACTGTATGAGTGGCTCAATCCATGATTGTCCCGCCATTGTTGCACCGCCGCGTTTTATTCCTCTTTGAACTCGGTCTTTATTGGCTACCGCCCGTCCCAGATACCGTCTCTCGACAACGCGGTAAAATACATCTCATTGAAGAGTCCTTTAACGAGTTCTCGCAACTCGAAGTATATCGGCGAAAGCGATGTACCGGAAACTCTGTCTCACCTCGGCGTGACCGGGACATAAATTTGTATTCGTTAACGAGGTGCTTCGGCTCGCGATTGCACTCGTCGGGATCTCATTCCGACGTTAATGCAACTCTCCGTTGCACTTTCGTAAGTACGTATATAATTATTTCTTAAGAAATAGACTCGTAGCAAATACCGACGGTACCGACTTAATGTAGCTTCAGATTTCACCAGATTCTTCTATTTAGCTGTATAGAATTGCAAATGCTTGTAGAGTAAAGTAACAATGGAACAGAGTTTACTTATACGTTCGGATTAACTACCCTTAAAGCTTAGATTCATCTTAGAACAGCCTTAAAGCAATAGATTCATCTTAGAATAGCAAAGTCGGACGCGTGAAAAACAGAGTGAAAGTACAAATGTCAACTAAGTACTCCATTATATAAAAATTTTTTTAAAATTATTATTTATATAAAATTTCTTGTAATAAACATTTGCAATTCTATATAACCAAATAGAAAAACAGTGCAAAATAAAAAAGCTACATATAATGTCATTGTCCAGCATATTTTTAAATTACAACTTCCTTAGTTTGCGCGTCCCCGTCATTAGAGTTTTTTATCGCACTAGACCATCCATACACATTCATCAGCCATTAGAATTATGATTTTTAGTTAAGATACACACACACACACAAAGATAATTTTCCCCGATCCAACGGACCGTCGTTGTCGCTATGTCTCTCATTATCATTTGTTATTATTTTTCCACGCTTTTTTCAACCCTGTCGTCCAAACTTTGTATCAAATACCCCGTACGCACAAAACTCCTTGCGCTCCAATAAAACAAGAAATCCCATATAGTATATATAAAATTGTTTTTACACCCTGGCTAGCCGCGTGTGGGATGAGTCGCGTATCAATTGTCGCACACACGTCATCGTCCTGTTCATCCTTGATTCACGCATCGATTCTGTCATTGAAAAATTCATGCTCAGCCTAAATTTAAACGTCACCATTCCAAAAGTGGACGCATCGTTCCGCGTCTTTTTCTGCTTCGCAGGCAAGTGGAAAGACCAGATCATCTTCGACCCCGTCAAACGTTATCGCTGAATGCGCCATTGGCACCCAGATGACCATTATCCTGCGTCGACCCAGGATGCCGACTGGGTACCAGTAACCAGCCTCACGTTCTAGCGAACTTGTAGACCACACCGAAAACCAGCACGCTCACCAGCATCAACACCAGCGCGGTCACCACCTTGGCGAAGGCGTTCAGCCCACTCTCGGCGTGCTGCTGGGGTCTTCTGGTCGGCACGCTTTGTTTGGAAGCGAGACCGCGTGCAAGGGCAGGAAATGCCAGACTTTGGGTGAAAGTCAGCTTGTGGAGGGACTCCGACAAGGAGTATGGGCCGACGGAGCCACGGGCTGCGGCTCTCAAAAGAGCATACTCCAAATCCAAGGCATCGAACATACTGTATCTGCTGGTAAAATATAAAAGTTAATATCGTTATCCCGTAATAGGCTTCTTTGATTGTTCTACTCGATTATCGTATTGCGCGACCTAGCACAACTCTCACTACACTCTACTATCCCTATTTAACTATCCCTATTTTACTGTCTACTTTTTGCTGCTTACTTCCATTGTAGACGGTTCTTAAGAATTTTACGTATTACATAGCAGCCTTTACTATACACATCGGGAAACGCGCGCGACAATTTTAGCGTGAATATTTTCGCCTCGAGTATAAAGCACACGGACAAAGGGTGCTGGTAAAGGGAGAGGCGTGTAAGCGGGCCCCTATCGAGACGATCCAATGTCTTGGCCTCGCGCGAGGTCCTGCGTGCTCGACCGCGAGATTGCGAGACCGCAAAAAAAGAGCGAGAAATTAGGGCGCGGTCGACCTCGCGAGGGAAGGAAAGCGATTTTCTCGAGACTCTCGTACATAGAGGGAGAGCCACTTGGTAGCGACGAGAACACATAAGAGTGCGAGCAATATATCGCCGATATGTATGTATACACCATGTAGATGTATACGCGCGCGCGCATTATTCGACGTCGACGCCGATACGTCGTCGGCTCGTGTATTTGCATCGTGTCAAGGACGTTCCTTGACACGAGTCAAGATCGAGTCCGACGTCAAACACAGCCGACGATGAATTGTTCCCGGCGTGCTGATCTCTGAAACTCCCATACTATTGTATCACGTGCAACCAAGGATAAGGTCACGTTTACGCGACTAATAAACACTCGCATAGATATCTCACGACGAATAAGAAAGAAGGTATAAAACAGCGTAAAAGCACCAATAACGTGAGAAATAATGAGGTAAAAGTAGCAGTTCCTGGACATTTTTATTGTTTCGGTCTTTAACCTTGACATTTACTTGTGATTTAGATGTTTGCGTAATTTCATACATAACTTCCTTTCCTCTAAAAATCTGATTAAAATCTCACAACGATCTTCAAAGATGATTTTTGTTTTTTAAACTCATTATATATTATTTTGATATTTGAGAATTAATTTTTTCTTCCAATTTTATATGATTTTATAAATGAATTTATATGAAAAAAATCAAGAAAAATGCGTATATCTTAGATACGTAGGAGATAATAGTCAGACTTTCATATATATATTCGATATATTTTTTATATTTGATATATTTTTTTATATTAAAAGTTTAAATATCCATATTTAAAGATCAAAACAATAACAAAATTCAGAATCAAATGTAGTCGATTGCAGAACAATTAGATACAACGAACTTGGAAGTTCACTAAATTGTCAAAATTGAAAGTCATTATCGATGAGCTTATGCAGTAAAAATGTAATTAATAATATAATTAATAATAATAAATAATAATACTCGTGATGACTCTCAATTTAATGAGAGCTTAGTGAGATCCTAACTTTGTTTTTGAACTGTTTTTCGGTAACTAACGGTACGTGTCTGTGCATTGGTTTTACCTTACACACAGTTAGTCTTATCAAACAATCACCAGCTATCTCAGAATTTTAATAGCGGCAATATCTAAGTGACTTCCGCAAAAAATGTTGCTGATAATTACGATAATCATGAACTATCATCTTTTTCCCTCTTGCGAATTTTTATGCGGTTATTACAACAAAGAACATTGGGTGCATTCGCGGGAAGTGCAATCAATTACCTGCTGCTGCGTCTTCTGTCCTGGGAGTGCATCGAGGCGATCGCCGAGCTTGGCATCGATCGCAAGCTGCTGGTGGTTGAGCTGGAGGGACTCGGCGGCGCAGGTGGCTGATCCTCGTCCACGGACGTTCTGTCTGGCGACGGTGGACTCTTCGAGCCCGCGTTATGGTGGTTGTGATGCAGATGATGCAGCTGCAACCGTGCGTGATCCGGATGCAGCAGACTGGCGCGACGTGATTGCTGCGGCGTCGTCGCTGGACTGTTGCAGACTGCCCCGCACGGCGACGGTGACGCCTTGAAATGTGTTTCGCGAAAATTTCACGATAGATTTCGTATATGAAAGATCCTTATGTTTCTACAATTTGCGCCGAACGAATATTTTATTTGTGGACATTCGATAGAGCAAGTAAATAATTTGTGAGAGCCCCATACCTGAATGGACTCGATGCCGCTGTCGTTGACGTTTTCCTGCACGTCTGGAAACATAAAGGCCTGTCCATCGGCCTCGCCTCTGGGCGAATCGCTGGGCCATACCTGAAGAAGCGGAAGTCCACGCGTCTCGTTACACACCTCGGCGACGACGACGTTGCTCTGTCCGCTAGCATTGAGGCACAACCGGCCCAGCTCTCTCAATGGCTTCTGTTGAACGATATGCGATTCTAAGTGATCTTGCGAAGCAGCATCAATGATTCTTTTACATTTTTTACAAATGAGAAACTCTTGAAAAAATTTATAAAAATACAAACTGATTTGAAGAGCTTTGAAGTAAACCGGATACGAATTTGAAACGTTTGCAGCTTTAAAATATCATGAGAACCGTGTCGCGCGACAAAAAGGAAACTCTCAATGCGTCAGACTCGTTGATTTTCGTAATAAATAACGCCGCTGGAAACTTCATAACGTTGTCGAAGCAAAATATTTTCTGCGTCCACGCTGCATAAAAAGCAGAGATCCTTCACGGCCGGATATATTAGCGTATGAAATATTGAAAAGAAATATTTTTAGCCACGCTTGCGTTTTACGAGAGCTGATTAATCGATGCGGTACTCGCTTGTCTGGACTGTTCGATTTCCAATCTAGACGACGTTCGAGAAGACCTGCGAGAAGAAAGCAATAGAAATTCACGCTAATCTCATAATGGCTACGTTCAGCAGAGAAAGTTGCTGTAAAATTCGTGAATCTGACCGGTCAATCTTCATTTCCTTTTTAATGTTGCTCTCAAGCATCATCGATTTTTCATGAGCTACATGTAAGAACGACAGATGCAGATTTATTTAGTACTTGTAGAGCAACATCTGGCTACTTGTTCGATTGGGCGATGTTCATTAATATCAATTCTTGTCATTAAGTTTATATAGGTTTATTTAGAGATTTGAATCAGAATCTGGCCATAAGACAGCTAATTTTAATCTATCCGCCATGTTTTGCCAAATCCCACATAGTATTCCTATCGCAGGTTAGGTTAGGTTAAGGAGAGGTTGAAAAAAGAGATTGACAGAGAGAGAGATTGAAAATATGTTCCTCTCTCTCGTAGAATTTTGACCGCAGTTATAGCGAGACTTTAATTCAAGGATCTCTAGGTTATTATAAATGAAAGAACATTTATAAAACATATAACATTCAGTAGACATGATTTATTTCATTTAAACAAATTTGTATCTTTAAATTTTTTAATTCCATCAAATAAAGGGTTAATCCATCTAAGTGCCGATCAGATACAAGAATTTTACAACAGTAGCGAAGTAATTTTCTATGCTAAACGCAGCAATTAATAATGGGAGAAGACTCCTGATCCGAAACTTCTCTAATTACTTCGTTGAAACAGTGATAAATTGAGATTACCGAACGATACATTATCATTGATGAGTTTGTCACGAAATGCCGTACTCGTGACCGCTTATCGATCATTCCCCGCGATCTCACGAGATATCTTTGACGTCAATGACAATTATACCGATTTCGCTCGATGTAACTATTTATAGGCGAGGTCTCGCTAAATTTCAAAGAAACTACCCGTAACTACCCGCCAACTCGAGATCGTAATTAACGGATTAGGTAGTAACTGAAAGTGCCATAATATCGCGCGACCGTGAAGCACTGGGCGGCAGCACGCGATTCCTTGTCCTCCACTTCTACGAGGCGAAATTCAATACTTTCATCGGTGTTTACTGCGCTGTTAATGAAATCCTTTTTCGTTTTACATAACGTCATTGGATCTTCCAACCGAAGTGATTAATGCAATTGCGCATTCGACGACGGTGGAAATGTCATACACGCAGATTCTGCGACCGTCCGTTCGTCCGCAAACTATAGAGGATGACACATCGGTTGATGACACATTACCGAGTCCGATTGCTCGACGTTTATCGATTACCGATTCTCGCCGATAGCATGTAATAATCGCGTTTGTCGTCGAAGAGAGCGGCGCGAAAAACTTTTCCAATAATATCAGGAGCGCAATCTGAACTGACTCTTCATCCCTGCTCCCTAATTTCTCGATGAATTATTATTCTCGCTCGCCCTCGCGCTCGTGCCTCACCTTCGCCCTTTTCGCTTTGTCCTATTGATCACGAGGGCTGCCTGTCGATCGAGCGATCTGATTTTATTAGGTGTGCGACGGTGGACAGCGTGGATAATAATACACGGTTTAAAGTTCAAAATGTCTCGCTGGCGCGTTGTTGCGAGAATCGTTGCAGGCACGCAGGAAAGTGTCTAATGACGCTTCGCAACTCGAGGATAAACGGTTCGCTGGTTTCCGGTGCGGCGAGCCTGCAAAGGTCGTCCGGCTGTACAAAAAAGCGCAGGGGAAAAGGGACGACCGCAGAAGCACTGCGAAACAGATCGATAAAGCGCGAGTGAAAGCAAAATACGAAAAAGAAGAAGAAAAAAGAGGAAACAACCCGACGAGGGTCAGATTCCTCGTCCCTCTAACTCTCAATCGTGCTGAGTGCCCGACATTTTCACGCGAACAAATATCGACAAACTGTGCGTAGCGATGGCTGCGTTCAACAGAGAAAGCTGCTTTGCTGCTGTTGCAAAATTCGTCAAACTGATCCAGTATACCAATCGGTAACACCAGGGTGTTACACTCACATACAGTTCAGTACACTGAGGGAAATGTCTGATGATATTAATCAGAATTCTATTTAGGTTTACCAAACGGTATGGTAAATAATCGTGTAACAAGCTATTTAGTCAATGATACTAAACTATCTGGTGAGCGCATTGTGGTCTAAGTAGTATTACAGAGATGCTTAAATACGTTTACCAAATCGTCTGGTACAGCATAAAATTGTGATAATTGAAATAATAAAAC